TCACATTTCAACCCTGACCACACTAAACTGAATCTGTCCGCAGAAATAAAACATACCAATATTCATCCAATCATTATAAAGCCCCTCTCCAAATAACGAGCCTACTGATGAAGAAATTAAAGAAAGCTATAAAAAAAAACTAAGGAATAATAAACGCTTCGTCAACATTGAGGCTGAACTTTTGAAAATAACTTACCTTCTCCTGAATTCAATAACAAGTTTCTCTATTTTATGTAAGAAGACTGGAAACACATTCCAAAAAGTAGGGTTTATGACTCACTAATGCGCTATGGAAACAAAAAGATAGCCCCTCAAGATTCAAACACATACAGAGTTATCTCACTGGGATCCATCATGGTGAAAGCATTAATGAACATTATATTAATTTGGCTCTCGTCGTTTTGTGAAAGTCAACTCCTCACAACCCAGTTTAGTTTTCATTCTGCTAAGGAATGCAATAAGGCCATCAAACAGCTCCAAAAATTGCTTACCTCTCTAATAGGAAACTGTATACGTGCTTTGTCGACCTCACAGCGGGATATGACTACATCTATAGAGACTTCCTCTTCACATCGATTAGAAATCGTCTTCCAAGCTCCAAATCTACTGAATGCATCGATCTAATAGAGGAACTTTATCGATCTCCCATGTCCCAGTTTATTTAATCTTTTCCTAGATTATACCCAACGCATTTATAAACACAGATGTGATGATACAGGCACTGGTCATTTGAACATTCCAGATTAAGATCTCAAATGAATCTATCAATAAAAAACAACGTTATTGCTTTCCCTCACGGGGCCAATGAATTAATGATGAGGAGTAAGGAAGCTATGTTGATGACATAGATATTCATAGGTGGAATAAGAGTGATCTTCAACTGGAAATCAACATTATCTACCAGGTGTTCCAAGAAATGGGAATCAACATAAACCTTTCCAAAACAGAAACTATAATCTGGAATTGGAATGAAAGCAGTAATGGCACATGCCTTGAATCATTGATAAAAATTCAGTATGTAGAATTAGTAAATGCTAAACATTTCAGATACTTTGGCGTATAGATCATTTATAACAAATTTAACAAAGGAAATAAGGAAATTGAACCTAGAATATGCTAGAGATAGTTTTGCCCAACACCGCAAATTGCTACAAAACCAAAACATCAAACTGAAAACGCGTGTCATGTTCTTAAATAGACTCGTCAGATCGAGACTTTCATATGGATAACATGCATGGCGCCAAACCAGTTCAGAAATACCTAAACTGTCAGTTGTATACAAACGCTTTCTAAGATCAATGGTTAAAAATGGCTTTGAGCGAGTGAAGCCTGGGGTTTTTGGCAAATCCTTCCTTTAAAATTGTGGAATGGCGCTACCGAATCACAAAGAACTGTACCAAATAACTGAAACTGCATTGTGGACTAACACCAGTAGTCACAACTTAAATGGATCGAACATAAAAAGTAATGATATAATCAGGATGCTGATATTTCACACTACATCAACTAAAATGTTGGAAGGTGTCATGGGTCCTTACCTATAACTACAGAATGAACTCTTCCTAACACTATGTATACTACGCCCCTCAAGAGAAAGGGACGAATCGAGTCAAGCCAATAGTAGTTCACTCCAAACCAGACTGACAGTCATACTAACATCTTCCACATCTTGTATTATTTCGTGTAATATACCTTCGTTATTTTCTACTCTTGTGTTCGTGTTGTTCTTCCTTGGTCCTAACCTGGACCATAACAGAAGGAAATGCCCATTAATACTGAAAAGAGTAATAACAGCTACTGGATTTGAAAATCCTATTTTGTTGAAAAATTGTTTTAAGAGATATTTTATAAATTTCAAAAGAAAGCAGTACTGTCTGTTCGGTCAATGAATGCCAAATGTTTCCTTATAGGGAAACGGCTAATGCACCCATTACCATTAGCATGATCGTTTACATTTTGGAGTGTCATGGAACAGAGAGAAACACAAAAACACACAAAGCTGTTTAAAAAAATCAGCTTCACTAAATAGGTTGTTTGGTGTGTTAGATCTTTTGGTGTGTTGAACATTAGTATATTTTTTATCGGTGCCAAAATGCTTTCACTATGTAGAAAATTGACGCTATCTTTCCACTCTGTGATTTTTATTTTCATGATATATGTTTTATATTTAAATAGATATCAAATTATACAACCACAAACGAGTAAATACAAATAATTATTAAGGTTATCCTATTCAGGCACAAGGTCAAAAGAGTGGAGAACTCTTGCCGGATAGTCCACTTCACGACAACATGGAAGTAGTAGGCGCCCATATAGGTTAATATATTACTAAAAATGGCTGTAGTTTGCTAAAGTACAGATATATTGATTGAATAGGCAAGAAGTATGAAATCTTTATAAATATGAAATATTTTGCTATAAGTAATAGGAAAAGTGGCAAATCGATAAAGATTCCCTATTTACTCTTTACTCAATCTCACTTATATATATATATATATATATATATATATATGTATGTATGTATTTAGGCATGTATGTATGTATGAATGATGTTGAAAACGTTCTTGGCCCGACCAAGAGCCCCTTCGAGAAAATTTGTCATTTGCGCAGTTTTAGGGATAGAATTCAACCGAATATTTTTTCGCACCTTTTATATATATTAGGCTTATGAGTCAGTCCATAATCTAATAAAATGATGCAAAACATTATTTTACGCAACCACTGTTGATTTTTTCAATATAGTCTCCTTCCTTATTGATGATTTAATTCAGTATTGGTGACGTAATTTAATATTATACAGTGAAAGTTTAAAATAAAAAATGTTAATAACTGCAAGTTACATATTTATACCTCTACTGTATATATATATATATATACATATATATATATATGTGTGTGTGTGTGTGTGTGTAACATACATATATGTGTGTGTTTTTGGTAGCACAAAAATATTTATAGATTCAGTGTCACTATTTTGACTCAGTAATTATATTTCACTCAACAGAAACGAAACGTCTGTCACACTAACATCATGCACGCCATGAATGGGAGACACAAAATGACATGTCAGTAACCAGAGGCATCGAGTCACGTGGTTTTTATATGCAAATAGCGATGGATGAAAACATAAATAAAGACACATTGTGCACACAGACACACACACACACACACACACATATATATATATATATATATATATATATATATATATATATATACATATACATATATATATATATATATATATATATATATAACTGACCCATCCTAGATCATTCTAGTAACTTCTGTGATATACTTCTGTTCAGAAATATATATATTGATGAACTGTCATTGATATATATATATATATATATATATATATATATATATATATATATATCAATGACAGTTCATCAATACGTCATGATCCCTGAATTTTAAGGAAGGTGAGTATATGGATAAATAAATATGTGTTGCCAAAATATACATTTTGGATGATTATAATGCGGAGTGGGGCAAGTGCGTGACCATTCCCCATATTTATATGGCGAAAATATATCCAAATATAGAATACTTTCAATACACATCTACAAATTCATTATATTTACCGATATTTACACATGAACAAAACACACGAATCTGAACAAAACGGATTTATTTCAGACCCTATTTTCTGATGACGTTTACTCGAAGAAATATGTTAAGATAAAAGTTTTATAACTTGTCATATATATATATATATATATATATATATATATATGACACACACACACATATATATACCTGTGTGTGTGTGTGTGTGTGTGTTAGTGAGTGCATTTATATAGGGAAGAGAATTTTCAATTTAAATTACAATCTAATACCAGTAAAAAAAAAAATAAACTGGCGAAGGCAGATTTTAAAACAGGTTTGGAGTTTCTGTGCTGCACTTAGTGCGATTTTGCATGTCGTCTTCTTTATGTGCATTTCTGATCGAACGCACATATGCAGTTGATGAAGTGATGCAGCCTATTTTCAACTTGTATATGAGGAATAAAGAAATAAAAATACAAACGTCGATTTCTCTAGAATCCGCGTAAACCAATAGTTTTATTTGATTGGGTTCGATTTGCTGCCATTCCCCATTGACTTCCACAAATCAACATCTTGAATTTACATATATCTAGCAAAGTCTATCTATAATTAGACACGTATGGACATATACATGTTTACCAGAGAATCTATGTGTATATATACAAAAACATCCAAATGAGTGTTGCATTTGGCTCAGAACGCTTTTGTGTGTGTGCGCGCACATATATATATATATATATATATATATATATATATATATATATATATATATAGGTTTGATATAAGGTAAACACCTTACCTCCACGTGGCTAAGTCAGGCAAACTGGTGTTGAAGGAATGCGTATCGGCGTATTTTGTCCTAAAACATCTTTACACAATCATGGCTGCCTTGACGTCATCTCAAAAGATTTGTTTTGTTTTTACTTTATACATCAGTCTTTTCTTTACCATTTTTAATAGACGAACTGCTTGTTCCTTCTTTTTATAACTTGCTCTCTTTCTCTTTCACTCTCCTTCTCTTTCACTCTCCCTTATATCTACTCACCCTTTCTTGTCTGACTTTATAGATTTTCTATTTCTTTCTCTCTATTCTTTTAACTCCCTTCTATCTTTCCGGTTGATTTTTATTACTCTCTCTTTTTCTTTTTTTCTCTCTCCAACATACACACATCTGTCTATTTCTTTACTCTTCCTTTCGTCTTCTTACCGCTGTCGGAAATCTCACTTCAACTCTCGTTTCAAATCTCGTCCTATCCGATATTATTGACAATTTTTAAAACACAATATCGACGTCTTTCTGTCTGTGTGTTTGACTGTGTGTAAGTGTATCAAATACGAATACTGGTGAATATTTAAGAAGAACGTTCTTCATTCGTTAGACAACAACGATGTCACTGTTGAATCGAAACCAAACGAAGGAAGAGAGTTGAATCAGAATGGAAAACTGATTATAGTAGAAGTAGCAGGAGTGAAGGAAAAAGGCGGAAAGAAGGAGGGTGAGGAGGAAGCTGATTTCATTGAACATGAATATTTACGAAACTCCTGCTTTACCGAATCAAACAGCATCCGAGAGAGATACACGACAGACCCTTCAGGATAGATAGATAGATAGACAGATAGATAGATAGATAGATAGATATTGTCTAGGGATCACTTAGGACGTGGAACTGGCATTCATGCTTGTCTGTTGATTTTTATACCCACAATGTTTCTATCTACAACCGCTCTATTTCCGATATTGATCGCACATCTCATAAATTTAAACAATATAATTACCTAGATGTATAGATAGAGAAACGGAGCTTGCAATCAATGTTATATACACACCTAATCACAAGCACATAATGCACATTTTTTTGTTAAATTTAACAGTGAAAACTGCACTTTCGCTTTATCCGCAAAGTGTAAATCTTTGGCAATATCCGATGCAAGCATGCATTGCATTTCGAAACCAATTAGATTGAGACTGAAAAAAAGCATCAATTTTCAGAATTAGAAAGAGTAAATGTAACCAAAATAAACAAAATAATTGAATTTTTCTACGCATACTTTTTCTTTATACTTTAAACGTTGTATCTACTTATTTCCGTCATTAACATATTTTTTCGCAATTTTAATTTTAAAATAGGTGCTCGCCATATATATATATATATATATATATATATATATATATATATATATATAATTATTTATTTAAAAATATTATTCCATCGCTACATGAGTTTCAAAACAAGAGCTGAAAACTTCAATATAATTATTTGAATTAAAGTACCAAGCTCTGTTCCATTTTCAAGCGAAATTTTTAGAATAACTAATTCTTGAAATTTACGCGTTTTTATAAGCATATTCATTATTAAAATAATAATAATAATGACTATGCTTATAAAAACGCGTTATATTAAAGTTTTCGGCTTTTGTTTTGAAACATGAGAACTCTTATGTAGCGAAGGAATCATATTTTTAAATAAATAATTATAGTTAGGCTCTACTTTTGTATCGAGCACTGTTTTTTAAAAATAATAACAAAAAAAAATACTAAAGAACTTTGGATTATTTACCTAACGAGTTCTTTCCTTTTTTCTATATATTTTCACACACACACACACACACACATATATATATATATATATATATATATATATATGTGTGTGTGTGTGTGTGTGAAAAATATATATATATATATATATATATATATATATATATATATATATATGTGTGTGTGTGTGTGTGTGTGTGTGTGTGTGGTATATTTAGGCAGCAATTATTAATCCAAACAAGTTTGATGAAATAGAACCGATATGGTCTGTTTGAATTTTGAAAAAATATTTTTCAGATTTTCCAATGAGGTTTTGAATAAGTTGCTCGAAGTTGTGAATAAACTATTCGAATTTCATATTTTGTTATTGCTCTGTTCTAATACTTTCGCAGTCATTATCAAGAATTGATATCCATAACTCCGAACACAATACACAACATGTTGTTCGAAGGTTGGAAAGATATAATGAAAACATTAAACAGATAGATGCTGTAGCTTTTTTTAATCAAATGTGCTTATATATATATATATATATATATATATATATATATATATATATATATATATATATATATATATATTAGTATGTATGTAACCCATAAAATTAAATTAATAATATCATATTAATATATTTACTAGCATTAGCTTCGTTTGGCACGCAAAATCAAATGGAGTCGTTTTAAGTGGGGATAGGCTGCTAGCCGTGAAAATCAGCATCACAAATGCTTTTTTGTTTGAATTCGACAATGACGAGTAATAGATAAATATTTCAAAAACGAGGTGACAACTTTAGATAGTTCACTAGCCTGATAGATAGATAGATAGATAGATAGATAGATAGATAGATAGATATATTCTCATATAAATAGCAAGATATAATATTATCTAATACACGTAAATACGAATTGTATTTCTGATCCAAAAAATATTACACATACTATTCCTTATCAGTATTCCATTTTTATTTACTCACTCATTTATCTCTTTTCTCGGGATTGTCGGGAAATTTAATATCGATCATTCCAATCGATTCTTGTTTTGCAATCTTGTGCTGTAAGAGACAGACATTGTAGCACAACCAGTGGTAAAACAAGTAGCAGTAGCAGCTGCGGCAAGAAACACTGTTATCATAAAGAAGAAATAGTTGCAATGGCTGATACGTAGATAGATCGAGAAGGTATTGGATAGATAGATAGATAGATAGATAGATAGATAGATAGATAGATAGATAGATAGATAGATAGATAGATATGAACAGACTGAGATAGATGAATAGGAACATACTGAGATAGATAGATAGATAGATAGATAGATAGATAGATAGATAGATAGATAGATAGATAGATAGATATGAACAGACTGAGATAGATGAATAGGAACATACTGAGATAGATAGATAGATAGATAGATAGATAGATAGATAGATAGATATGAACAGACTGAGATAGATAGATAGATAGATAGATAGATAGATAGATAGATAGATAGATAGATAGATAGATAGATATGAACAGACTGAGATAGATGGATAGGAATAGACTGAGATAGATAGATAGATAGATAGATAGATAGATAGATAGATAGATAGATAGATAGATAGAAAAAATTACAACATCCTGACTAGATATTTCAATTTAATCAAGATTAAACATCCAGATAATGAAGCTGGATAGCAGTAAATGATCAAATATAATGATCAATATTTACACAGGTTCTAAATTAAGCGGAGGCATCGACTGTATTCAGAACCCCCCCCCCATTAATACAATGTGTATCCTACTTAGACATTAACATAAACATGTACAGTGGTATGTTGTATGCGGTGGTAAATATAGCGAATATCATTCTATAATATGTTATTCCCTCTCTGTTGCACTTGTGGACGCAATGCAGCAATGGTCGTAGGTGGACAAAATGAGCGGGATAGGCTTCGTCCCTTCATGAAGAATTCATGATTAGTTGAGGTTAATTTTGGTGATTGTGCCAGTCAGGAAAGTTTTTGGACATCCAGAAAATCATGTTGAGTAGTACATGCATTATGCGGAACAGCAAATCGCTCTTGTTTCAGGGATGAGAATCAAATGGATTGAACAAGGTTGTAGATATGAATATATTCAACGTACCCGCCACAAACACCAAAGACAGAGAGAGAGAGAGTTGTAACTTAATGCATCCACACCAGAAGTCGAGCCCGTGTGTTGTGGATGAATGAAACATGACATTGAAACATACTTATTCGTAAAAATAGTTACAAATTTTGCGTAAGCTTCCCTAACATTCTTTTGTTTTATTATTTACAGTTTAATTAAATATAGCGACACAAAAAATCGTGTTCAAGTTGTCGTATTGAAAATGGCTGATATGAAGAATTGTGAGATGATAAAATAGTTAAAAACTGTTTTTAAAATGTGTAAAAAAAGTTTCAAGAGGAGCAAACAACCTCACCAAATCTAATTCCAGAAATAAACCTTGTGTTCATACCAGGAATGTCATAAAAGCCGTCAAGAAGAGGGTGTAGAGAAATTCACAAAGAAACACAAAGAAGATGGCAAAAGAACTGGGTATTTTGGATAGGTGGCTAAGGAGGATTTATAGTTAAAACGAGACAAATTTCAAAGATTACGACAACCGCTCTCAGGTGCTTCCGAGCAAAAACGACCTAAAACAGCAAAGAAAATATCGGGGGACATTCAGCGTGCTACAGAAATGTTCGTGTGGTTGGACGAGGAGTTTTTGGTTGTGGAGGTTGTGGTCAAGTACCAAAACGATAGGGTTTACGTCACTTCATCAGAAAATATTCATATATGTGTCAGAAGACATTATAAGCGACAGAAACCAACTAGTTTCATAGTTTTGGCGGTCGTTGCTTCAAAATCGCCCTTGGTGTTCATTGAAGGCGTTAAAATGAATAACAGAATTTAGCAGCAAACGCTAGAGAGAGATGTGTTGAGAGGCTTTTTAAACAACATTTGGAAGTTGCTATGTCTTTACTCAAAACGGAGACACCCACTGGCCAATTCAATTCAGATCTGGTGCAAGAGGCAGTTCCGTGGATATTTTTATTTTTTATTTTTTTATAACTAGCCAATTCCGTCACCATTAAGCTTTGACATCAATCCTACGGACTTTGCGATATGGTTTCACGTGATTCGTGCTGAAGTGTGTCAGATCTGAAAGCAGTATTTATGGGATCTTGGTATGATTTGAGCTAAGGGCTGGTGAATAAGTCATGCACTTCAGTCGAGAAGATATTAAGGGAGCTATGATGAAAGCAAAGATTAGCCATTTTCATTTACAAAATATATATGTGTAAATTGTTGTCAATAAATATAGCAATCAACCTGTAAACTTTTATTAAGCAAAACCTAAATGTTCGTATTTTATGATAAAATGAAGAATAGGTAAACGTATCTGTCTATATTTCTGAGATGAGGTATTATGTACATTATTTAGCCGACCAAGCATATAAATAAATACAATATGGGAACCAGTAATAAGGAGTGCCAGAGAAAAGCAATGATAACAACAAAGTTGCAATATGAGCTCTGGTAAAAAACATGCAATGATAACAGCAAAATTGCAATATGAGCACTGGTAAAAATGGTTGCTGAAGACATTAGGTTTATAATACCCAGAAATTCATACCCAGATGTTCTCAAGGACACATGGCACAGTGGATAAAGGCGTTGGTTAGATCCAGTGACAAGAGTGTGAGTTCAATACCCGGTTAAGGGTAGTGGAGAACTTTCAGAGGGAAATTTCAGAGGATAACTGACATCCATTAAACATGGCACGTGGAACTAGAACAGTCTACAGGTAGAAATGAATATATATATATATAGAGATATATATATATATATATAGATAGATAGATAGATAGAAGGAAAAGGAAGAAGAGACATAGGCAAAACGAAAAGAAGGGAGGAAAGTAAGAAAAATAGTGTATTTGAGTCCTGTCACTGGATCTAAACAACACCTTTATCCACTGTGCCATGTGTCCAATAACCTGGCCGAAACGTTGTAATAAATATGGCGACAAAGATGAGGACAATAGTCCGAATAATGTAAATAAGGTAAATGTATGTACTGCACCCGTTAAAACTGAGATACACACGGTGCACTTGTATTAAGGCTACTTTATCACAAGTTGATCGAAGATTTTGAAAATGTTATCCGAATATCTGCTACCACTAACATGCATTTACTGTACTCGGGGCAAAAATCAGAATAGGTCTTGGGAGTGTTACGATTTTATTTCCAACAAGATAGATATATAGATAATGAAGAAACTGAAATATAGGTAGAAATGAATATATATATATATATATATAGAGAGAGAGAGAGAGAGAGAGAGAGATAGATAGATAGAAGGAAAGGAAGAAGAGACATAGGCAAAACGAAAAGAAGGGAGGAAAGTAAGAAAAATAGAAAAAAATAATAGTATTCACCTGTAAAAGAAAAGAAGCAAAAGTATATAGAAAGAAATTAAAAACAATAATGATAAAAAGACAACTGAGATTTATGGAAAAACGTTGGATTGAATGTATAAATAAAAATGTATCTTATAATGGAAAATAAATATTTACTACATTAATTAAAATATTTCCATCTTTATACCACGATCATCATAAATGTCATAAAATATGTAAGGTTTGCGTAGAGTCCTTTGTTATTCCTTCTGATTAGATTTTAATTCTGGATTCATGAGATTGTTTAGCAAGTGAATCCATCGAATCGCGCTGATCTCCCGGTTCTTCACCATTTTATTATCGTGTAGGACTTGTACCTAAAGTTCGCGTGAAGTACACGTTTGCACCATCCTGACGATGGCATTCATCGATTTGCCAGGGTCATAGTTGATGATTTGGATCTATTGGGGTGGTAACTTGACTGTCCTTGACCGTTTAGATAATGGATGACAGGTCCTGTCAGATGCCTCCAGCATGTTTGTAACCGTGAATAAGAATGCTCTGGACACTTTCAAGAAGCTGAGTCGGCGTGAATTTTATTATCTATCTCAAACTGGAAGCTGCTATATTAATTCTATCAACATATCTGAAAAATGTTAACATTTGAAGCATGGCGCATAACATTACATTAGATAGTCTAATATTTGTGACCCGGTAAATATAGGCTATCAAATGCCTTTATGTATGCGTCAAGTGCTGGAAGCTTCTTAGTCTGAATTATAAAATAGTCAAGAATAAATTTTGATGTTTGAGTCATTTAATCGTAAATTGATACATTAATAGATAATAATATTTACGAAAGAATGCTGGTTGGTTCGGTTCGTAGTGTCAAAAACAGAGATAACTGGGTTCCGTGTCAACCAGTCTAAGAGAAGGAAAACACTGAACTGAATTCCAAACCGTGGAGGAGCCAACGGGGAACATTTGTCTAGAATCCATGGTAATTTACAGATAGCAAAGAAAAATCTATAGAAAGTCATGTTCACCTATATGCTAAAAGGATATTTCATTTAAAAATCTTTTTCTGAGGAGCCACTCTGTTTTACCAACCTACGGAAAGTTCAGTGAAAATTCAGTTCTTGATCGATCCATTTTTTCTGGTATGTCTTACAGCATAACATCAGCACTAGAAGCATTGGAAATCTTGAGGAATTCAATGATAAAAGGTTAGAACATTGAAAATTGAGGAATAATTTTCGCATGACTAGCGAGGTTTGGTCAATAGAAGTAACCGCTCAAGGTTTCTTGGTTTTCTGTTGGCACTTCCTTCTAGACCTTTGATCCTGCTGTTTGTAGAGATTTGTCATCACAAGGAAGTGGTGTTCAGGCAGTTGAACTCACCTGGGTACATCAAAGTTCAGGTTCTGAAAATTCATCAAATGTTTACGTACGATTTTGCTTTACAGCTTTAATATATCTTCAGGCGAGGTCTGTATTTTGATAAAGACCAACATCTTAAGGGAATGAGTAGAAATTACCATGGATTTATTTTGCAGATAAATATTTCGGAGGGGAGGTTTTCATGTACGTTGTGGGGTAGGGGTAATACTAACAATTGACATAATACTATTATAAAGCACGCTTCCTGTTTGAGATGTGCGTTTTTTAATGGCAATATTGGATGGTGTGTAAATCATGGCAAATTCAGGAATTTGAAAACTGATTTTTAAAATACGCACTCTTTGTGAATGTGCCAAAATTCAGTACTTATAAAATTACAATAACCGTGAATATGATTGCAGTCTCATCATTTTACAGTTGAAATGACGAACCGTAAATTCTATGCTAACAGCTTTTTTATCCAATTCATCGCTTCCGGCTTCTTACTTCCCAGTCATCTTTGATCTTCAAAAATTTAAATGCAATGTCAATCGTTATCTTCTGTTCTCTTAATTCTTGTTCTTTCATAGTCATATCTCTTTAATAGCGTTTTTTTTTTTTTTTCTCATATTCTCTAACAACATTTACGTCTTACTGGTTTTATTGCCTTGCTTAGGGCGAAACTATACTAAATTAATATTATTTTACTGTTCTCTCCCCTTAATAGTGCTTTTCTTCTCATATTCTCTAATACTCATTAACCCCTTGAATCTTAGTGGCATTATTGCCTGGGGGGAGGGATTAAAAAATTGTTGATGATAATAAAAATAATAATTATGATGATATCGCAATATTATAAAATATATTTCCCTCTCTCTCTCTCTCTCTCTCTATATATATATATATATATATATATATATATATAAAGAAAAAGGCCAATATATTTCATACAAAATATATTTTATAATATTGAGATATCATCATAATTATTATTTCTATTATCATCAACAATTTATATATATATATATATATATATATATATATAGAGAGAGAGAGAGAGAAGAAAGAAAAGAAAAGAGAAAAATTTAATATATATATATATATATATATATATATATATATATATATATATATATATATATATATATATATATGTGTGGGTGTGTATGTTTGTGCATGCATGTGCTTATTATGGGCTCGGTTTTGTTATTTTATATTTGGAAAAATGGTCACACAGACTGAATATGACTTAGCAGTCAATCGTATAAATTACCACTGTAGAGGGATGAACAAACTATATATATATATATATATATATATATATATATATATACATATATATATATATATATATATATATATAGAGAGAGAGAGGGGGGGGAAGAAAGAGAAAAGAGAAAAAGGCCAATATATTTAATATATATATATATATGCAATTGTCAGGCCACATGATCTGACGATTGCATCTAGTATGAAACAGACTGTCGCCTCTAAGTGTTGACGTCTATGTTCACTTTTATATTTACACACGCTCTATCTCTGATATTGAGCACTTTATCCCATAAATATAGCACACCTTAAGAATATATTTCTTCATATATATATATATATATATATATATATATATATATATATATATGTGTGTGTGTATGTTTGTGCGCATGCATGTGCTTATGTGGGCTCGGTTTTGTTATTTTATATTTGGAAAAATGGTCACACAGACTGAATATGACTTAGCAGTCAATCGTATAAATTATCACTGTAGAGGGATGAACAAACTTTTCCTCGTCGTTACTCGTTTGGCAGAGTGTGTAATGTTATTGAGTGAGTCTCTGTATCGTTTATCAATCATATTCACTACAGTGGAGTGAAAAGTTTCTTCATATCTTGTGCAATATGTTTAGGCAAAACATCACACCACCCAAATGTCTTAGCCCCGTCCCTATATTTCCGATTTGTCACCCTGGGTCTTCCAGCTTTCCCCCACCCAAATTAAAATCATCCTTGAAATGCTTTGGGTGAAATTAATTAAAACACTAAAAGTAAGCTGACGGTAAACCCATAACAGGAATTGTTTTGAAAAGTGGGAAGGACATTTTGAAGTAAAATGGAAGGATTGTTTTGAAAAGTCTGTGTGGTCTCAAGGGATTGCTTTGAAGAGAACAAACACGCCATTAACCTCGTTAACATAGAATTGAAAAGAAACATTACGTTAGAATTATCCAAACAAACATTGCTACAATGAACAATGCAATTTTGATCGTCATCGTTGTAGTGATCATCAGATAGTTCCGCAGACGTTTATTACGCCGTAATATTGGGAGTTACATGCGCGTGCGCATGCGCACATCAAGGGCGACTAATTTGACTTGCAATTCATTGCGAGTGAATTCAATCCTCACAGAGTGGCACCATTTTGTGGTCCAAACCTAAACTACTATTTGGATCGTGTTGCTGTGGTGCAATATTTAACCATCTAGTCTAGCAATTTATTATTATGTTACAAGTTCAATCTTTTTCACTTGCCACCATACTCAGGTAAGCTTTGTAAATGCCGTTATCATTGATTTATGAATCGATCCTTAATGATGACAATATTTGTGACCTTTTGCATAAACTTAGTTAAAATAATTATAAGAAGACACAAGTAAACAAACTCTCATTCGGAATTCTGAACACTGAAAAGCTCATAAATCGAAATATTTTTCCCACGGAAAAAATAACCTGTTTTAGACCTAATAAAAGGTAATTTTCAAATCTATCTTCATATCTCATTGAACAGTTTCAAATTTCACTATAAACTCATTGATATTCCACAACAATTGAGATGTTTACTCAGTATAGTTTATACGTACCTTTAGTATCATTCTAAGAACGTTCTCTGGTCTCAAGGGTTTCGAACAACAGATTGTGTAACTGTATTTCTATTACACAAAATGAAATACAATAACTGAATAGCATAATTATAATAGAATTATCAAAAGATAACATCACAACCAGAAACGGCACAGGATTAGAATCAAAATAGAATACAAGGTTTATGTCTCACATCTGTATAGAATGACTTAAATAAGAAACGAGTATAGCATAAAGAAAAGAACGATTTTAATTCAACTCCCAAAAACTAATATTGCGATGAGTAACGCCGGAAAAATTACAACTGAGATAGAAAATAAGATTGCGAATGATTACAAGATGCGCAATTCAATAAGAAATGGTATCGATCGTTGTGTTCCAGACGTCTTCAGTCAATGATAATCATCGACGATCTCCATCTCCAGCTTGTCTTCAGTCAATGATATCATCGACGGCCCCCACCCGCTTGTCTCTTCAACATCCTGGTCACTCGGCTCCGATGATGTCACGTGCAGTCTTCGCTTTCTTTTCGCTGTTTTTTTTTTTCCTTCATTTTTTTTTTTCATTTCATTACAGTAAAACAAACATATAAGAAGATAAACTCCGCAGCAAAGACGAGAGGCAGTCGATCTGAGAAAATGTCCTGACCTTTTATCATCGACTTTTCAAGACTCTTTCTGGTTTGATCATGAGTTCAAATCCAACATGAACGCGGTTTATAGTTAACCTTAAACACATTTTTTCTTTCCCCTATGTGTGAATAGGCGTGTATTTGAAGTCGGGGATAGAAAGACAGATCAAACGAAAAATATGCAAATATAAGGAGTATTATGAAACAGAGATAGTAATGCTAAATCATGTAAAATAGAATGCAGATTTACTCGCATTCCGAAAGTATGAAACGTTTCGTAAACCGAAATTACGTGAAGCGAAGAATAAATTACCAGATTTGGTTGAAATGGGCTAAATTTTTGAACGTTCCAGCCCCCCCCACCGCCAAAAAAATAATTTTTCTGTCTTTAACAGACTTTTCATTTTGTCTATTACTTACTAAAATAAGACAATTTTTTATTAGCAGAGCTAATAGTAATTTCGGCATCTTTCGATTTTCTTTCTGAACGCAATGCAAATTGAGAACGCGGTTCAGTGCACGTATAATGTCTTTATTTCTGTCACTGTGATTTAAAAAAAAATCAAAAATTACCCTGAGTTTTACGCTATGCGTGACACCCTTACGATCCCCGCTTTGGTATTTCTCATCCATTAAAGTAAATTTTATTAATAGATGCACAAAATAAACCAAGATCAAATACAAATGTCCACAGACACATTTTAACGCTATCCGAGTTCGATTCTCATTGGATACTCAACATCTGCGGTTTTGTGTAGAGTTCAATCTGGTTTAGTTCATATTATGGGCGCCTAACTTACAGCGAAGTTTAGCAATATGAGAGATCAATTTTTAATGTAGCGACTTCGATCCTTATTGAGCGTTATTAAGATTAGTGAATATCATGAATGATTTAAGTTTCTTTTCTTTCTCGATTCGTTTGAAATAAAAACATTGCATATTTATGAAATTCTTTACTTTTATCCCAAACAAGAATTCGTATTGATATGCCTCCTCACGAATGACGAAAATGAAGCAATTAAAAAGATCAAAGGATCCTGCTTACCCTCGCTCTCCTGACTCTTCTCTACAGTAACAAAGTTTTTCATATTTTCAAACTCAAAGAAAAATATCGGTTAATGAATAAAGTTTATTTTTATATGAATCTTTTTGGCAACCATAAATGTAACCATTACAATACAACAAAATCTTGTACCAACTCAGATAAAATCTACGGACCATAGTTTGGTAATCACTAATACAAGTTAATCACACAAATGTCTATCATTTCAAAATTTTGAACTATTCATTCTGGATTGAACAATTAAGGAGTAATTGGTTAAAAAAACAAAACAAAAAAACCCAGCAAACTCCAATGTGATCTATTTGAAATCGTTGAAAAGAGATTGGCAAGAACAAAATCAATAAATAGTTTAGATTTGAAGTAAATTAGAAGCCAAAAAGAATCTGTTCTTCAAATTTTTTCTCTATTCTTAAACTCATTCATATCTTCCATTCCGTTTCCAAAGTTTTTCTTCTTCTTCATTCATTCATTCATTCTTTGCTTTTAAACTTTTCTTTTTTCACTTTTAATTTTACACTTTGTTACCTTTTTTTATCACACTCTCTTCACTTCAGTTTCTTCCAGTGCTTTTTCTCTTTCAATCCTTTTTCTTCTCCCAAATTTTGACTTTCTTCATTTCTTTCTTTTTGGTCGTATTCCTTCCCTTTCAATGTATTTTTTACATTTTTATTCTCTTCAAATTTTTTATTCGTTCTTCCTTCTTATATTTGTCAATTACTTGATTATTTACTAATTTCTCAAAAATTCGGATTGCAAAGTCCTACATCCCCATTCAAATATCAAATCTCCTCTTAACGAAAATCGAATATTTATTTACTCGGTGTTATTCATTTTCTGCCTGCCATTTTAAAAGTTATCTCCCTTTATTTCCAGGGTTTCAAACTTTTTCTTCTCCATAGTCGAGAAATCTACTTACAACAGTCCATTTCTTCGTGTATCATTTTTTAAGAAAAAGTCATTGGCCAGAGACAACCAAAATATGGCGGATAATTTATTCGACGAAAATACCTTGAAATACTGGTAATGAAAATATTCTAGATCTTATAAATGTACTAATGCTAAGGGATAAGTGAATCATGTTTAAACTAATCAACCAATTCGGAAAGGTCTACCAGACTTTAAAAAAATAGAGTTTATATTTTTTAAGGTGGACAATCCTTTCCAAATGCCGATATGCGCATAAAAGATACAGTTTGTTTGTTTTTTATCGCCTCGGCGCATACGCCAACAGCATACACTGAAGGGTGATACACAATTTTCAATTACCGAATAAACCCTTAGATAGATAGATAGATAGATAGATAGATAGATAGATAGAAAGAAAGAAAGAAAGAAAGAAAGAAAGAAAGTCAGACAGAAAGACAATATGAAACAAAAAAGTCGGATGATGTATTAACATTAGATTTTGCAAGCACTTTAGTGACCGTTAAGGAGAAAAGAAGATTATGTTGCTGCAATCTTTTGAATATGGGACACTTGGCTTTCCCCCAAGCTGGAGCATCACTAGCAGATTACTCTGTAAGAATCTTAACTAATAAACAAGTTCCGATAGACGGAATGCCAATTATGATTAGATTAGCGAAAGGCAGTCGTCTGGGAAATCTTCTTCCACTTTTTCTGATCTTTCTCCAAATAATAAAAATTTTTCATTTACTTTCATTCCTGACTTGGTTTTTCTTGAATCTTATTTTCACACTCTATTTCGCAACAATCAAAACGTTTTCACATTCAATGATCGTTAAGTAAGTAACGTGTAACGGAAACAATGTGAAAGCTTCCGATGAGATTCGAACTCACATTCTCTTAACCTTTTTTACCTGTTACCCTGAGAGGCCGATTTTTTAATTCGGCTATGAACGTCAAAACCTTTTCTTCATTTACAATCAATGATGTTGAATGAAATATGGAATAAATGTAAAGACGACTACTGAGTATTGAGATAATATAATTGCTATTCTGCTGCAAAAGCCACGACTGACCAATATCATTTTGGGGTATATTGTAATACAGTGCTGTTCGATAAAAGTGACTCACCTGATTTTTTTTTTTTTTTTTTACTAAATGTTCACTTCTCCGATGAAACGAAAGTTGAGCTAAATTCAAAGGATAAGCGATCTAAAATCTGAAAAGGAAGCTTTGAAAGCTCTTTGAATTTAGCAGTAAGTACTGTCAAACATCCGTTCAGTATAATGTTCTGGGGATGCTTTTCTTTTCATGGAACTGGTTTCTTGAAACCTATTGAAAAGACCATCAGGAGTGAGAAATACAAGAGAATTTTAGAGTCTCGTCTGCTCCCTTCTGCTGAAAGGGTGCAAATCGACCCCACCAAGTTCATTTTTATGCAGGATAATGTTCCCTGTCACAAATCAAAATTGATGAAGGAATACTTTGATGAGAAGCAAGTGAGTGTTATGACATGGCCGCCCCAATCTCCTGACCTCAACCCCATAGAAAATTTATGGGGCATTATAAAGTACAGGCTCTCGAGAAAGCAGTTGAGCCACATGCTCAAATAAGAGCGAGCAAAAATTGCATTAGGCGATTCTTTGTAACATTTTAAGCGGGATAATCTCTTTTAATCATCCTAGTGAAACTTTTTGTTTTCCAGCAGCATGACACATTACGCCTTCTCAGTCTAACATTTCCTGTTGACATGAAGAGGATAGATTATATTGTATCAATTGCTGGGGTCTGCAACTAGGAAAGTTGGTTCTCTGTGTTATGCTAGACAATGTTTCTCGCTAGAATCTATCTTTTACACATTACACAAAGTATACCATTCGTCCATGCATTAATTATTGCTGTCGCATTTGCTCTAGTAATTCTAGTATGTATTTAAAGATTCTTTATAAAATCCAAAGAAGAATCTGCAATGTTATCGGTCCTGGCATCTCGGCTTCAGTCACTCTCACACCACCGTAGCCTAGCTTCCCTGTGTTTTTTCTATAAATATTTTCATGTAAATTGTTAGGATGAGCTTTCCTTTTTGCTAACTCGACTTTATGTATTTATATGCAGTATTAGATTAGCAGTTATGTCTCATCCTTTTACGGTTGAAATGGTTAGATGTAACCGTAAGTTCTGTGCTGACAGTTTCTTATATCGCACTTCTCGCTTGTGGAACTCTCTTCCTGCTCTATGCTTTCCAGTCAACATTGATCTTCAAAAATTGAAATGCAATCTCAATCGATATCTTTTGTCTTTTTCTTGTATTGTTCTCGCCCCTTAATAATGCTTTTCTTTTTTTTCTTATTCTTTCAGACCCAGAGACCCCTTGTATCTTAGTAGCTTTATTGCCTTGTTTGGGATGAAATAATTAAAAAAGTAAATTTTTTTGAACATTCAATATCTGAAGTATTTCCCTGTACAACAATTTAACATTACATTGTTGCAGGATCATGACCTTTAGTTTTTGATGACAAACTAGATTTTTTCCCTTCACTGCTCGGTGAATTCAAGTAATATTAGAAGAGTTCCCCTAATTATCGACAAGTTAGCAATAAATGTCAATCTGCAGCATCTTCTTTAAATTAAGTAACAGTAATGCTCATAACAAAATACACAATCTGAAATTATTATCTGTACATTTAAAACGTAGTGTATTCATATCTCTCAATTAAGTGACGTTACTGTACAGTCAAATAGATAGATAGATAGATAGATAGATAGATAGATAGATAGATAGGAATAGACAGGGAGAAAAGTAAACATATATTTATTGTTTTCTTTAGCATTGGAGAAATATTAGGCACTGGAAATTAGAAGATTGTGTTACTCATTTCGAAAAATGTTCCTCTAAGTTCTGGCTTATATCAATTTTGAAGACTGGCGCAGGTGAGAAAATTCTCAACTGCCTAAGCCACCAACCCGAAATCTACAAAATTGTTAATATTTCGTCTATCGAAGATATCGTACATATGTCTCTATGTGCATAGATGCAGATGCCTGTGTGTGTGTGTGTGTGTGTGTGTGCGCGCGCGCACGCGCGTTTGAGAGAGGGAGAGAAAGAAAGAGTGAGAGAGAGGGAGAGAGAGAGAGAGCGAGATTTTCATTTTTTATTTAATGCTGAAATTCCAAATCAATGTGTGATTCTGAAAAGCTTTTTAAAAGTCTTCCCGGCCATTTATATTCATTATAATGCACATCACTACATACACATACACACACACATACATACATACATACATACATATAAAGAAAAATATACAGAAAAAAACAAACAAAAATCTTAATATGCAATTATGCTGTATTAATGTTAATATAATGTCAACGTCGGACGTTTCAGTCTATTTTAGACCATCATCAGGACATATTCATAAAACATAATTAACATCAGACTATATTCAAATTCAACATGAAAAAGATGATGGACATAAGAGCACGACTAATCCAAACATCTTCTTCTGATGATGGTCTAAAATAGACTGAAACATCCGACGTTGACATTATATTAACATTAATACAGCATAATTGCATATTAAGATTTTTGTTTGTTTTTTCTGTATATTTTTCTTCATACTGTCGGATCTATATCCATATATTTGCCTACATATATATATATACACACGCGACTAAACAGATATAAGTGTGGGTTAATAAGTTCACCGCCTGTCACGTTGTTGAATTTAGATTTGAAATTTTCAATGTATATATGTGATTAATATTCCCTTACTGAATTAAGTGCATTGACAGGGAAGGGGGTTGTTTAACAAAAAGTTTTTTTCATTACTAGGCTTATTGATTTACCCACATTTGTGAACATTTCCTGCTTCTCTCCCATGTATACACGTACACACGAAACAACACACACACACACACTCTATAGGCTGTGATATATTTATATGTTTATATTTATATGTTAATATTTATATGTTTACATACATATAAAGACACATTTATCCACCTAGGCATGTATGCAACGACACATTCACATATAAATACATACACATTTTCACAAACAACTTTTACATGCACAAAAATACATATTCCCACACACACCTTCACAATTCAAGGAAATTGACTAAAAATCGAATTTCCATTTTAAAACGTTTATTGAATGATTTTTGACGTATCGATCTCAGTAGAGGATGAGAACGGGTGCTTGTTGTTGCTGTTTTGGTAATATTTCAAAATGCACCAACAATCAAATGTAATTGCTACATTTTTGCCTCTCTCTTGCTTTTTTTTTAACTTTCTCAATCTCTCTCTCTTTCTTTTTCTCTCTTTTCTCTCTCTTTCTCTCTCAGACACTCTCTTTCTCTCTTCTCCAAGTCTTCATTGTTCATCCAAATATAATCCGTAACCAAGCTGTGTAAAACAATAAACCTAACCTGATATCGATAAATGAAATCGATCAGTTTCCAACACTGATTTTTCAACAGTGGGGGGGGGGCAGGCCGTTTAAAGGAAAGACATGTTGTAAACAGGAGCAGGTAATGATAGAAAGATATTCAATGATAGTTAAAATAAAGCTAATGTTTATTTATATAAGGACCCTGATTTGTACCTTACCACCGGTGTTCGAACCCAGGTAAAAGCCAATATTCCAACGTTGATTTTCAAAGCTGATTGAAAGATTACACAATATAATCTCCTTGTGCCTTGTCCTTCATATGGCCATACAATTCTTTCCTTGTACACTGTAGAGGAACCATATAGTTGTGGCCTGTTGTTGTAGAACATTTCTTCTGTACACTAGCGGTTCAGCTACAAAAAAAAAAATGATTCTAAACTTTAGAAGTCACTTATATCAAAGGAAGGCAACCCAATATCAATAAAATTTGTTTCAATCTAGGCGCATAATTGTTAAAATACTTTTGAACTTTTAGATTATTTTTTTCATATGACGCCATAATACATCCTGCAGTCATTCTCATTTGAATTCCTGTTTATTTGAAGTTTCGGGGCGTTAACATCATCAACAGTTATCTTCCGATTTTCTACCTTCTCTCCTTGAAAACAATCAGCGATGATCAAAAGCACATGGAATAATTTTGGCAAACGTTCCTTCAACGTTTCTATCTGGCATCAAATGACTTATTCGACGCCAAGATAAACCCACCAAAAGGTTTAATAGTCATTCCAAGTTCGATATCTTTTATAGAACAGGTTTAAAGATTACTGACAGAATGTTTAGTGCCATTAATTGTAGTCCCGTTGTAGCCAACCATACTGCGTCCTAGTGTCGTATGATTGTGGCCTGGCGCAAAAAAAACATAGCGAGGTTTGGTAAATATCTAAACTTGCTTAACATTTGGAACAAATCTTAAGGAGCAACTTATCCTGATCTTTTATATTGGAGTGTGTTTTTCATCCTCATTGGTTGATTGAAGATTTTGGCATTGTGACAAAACGAAACTAAGTATACATTTAAATTTACTTCGCCAATGAGTAATGGTTAATGAGCATTCATTCAAAGTGATTGCCTTACAATTGTGGCATGGTTAAAATCTAATCTAAGATCTGTAAAACCGTGTGGTGATGGTTTTGTGGCTTAGTGTAAAAGCTAATCTAAAGCTAATGATACTTAACCCTGGGTAATGGTTAACGAGTTTGTCTAACAGATATTTATTACTGTATATGTTATTCGATTTTTTTCTGTCTACCCGATATTTGTATCCATGAACCAAACTAAACAACGCTTTGTAAATAATTATTTTTTATTTTATTTTATAACCAACATTCTTATTTCTATAATCGTTATTTTTAATGGCTACACCACGCGTTGGATTTGTGATTCATGACTTTTTTTTTTTTTTTTTTAGTAAACAGTGAAATTAATATTATGTGTATTTGCTAAAAAAATAACTTTTACAATAATTAATAATTAAACTTGACCAGTGTAATCAAAGTCGAATTTATCGCACTCATCCTTCACACTATATTCGCCTCATATTCTAACCGCCTTCCTAACTGAGCGACACTGATCTGTTAAACTGTGCGTTTAGAATAATCAAATGATTATCAGATATGTGTTGCAAATCACTTATAAACAGTAAGTTTACTTAAAGATAATTTGAAGTACTTCGTAACTGTGTTAAGTGACTCCACAGATAATTTATTAATTCAATTATTATTTATCTCATTCAATAAATTCTTTCGAACTCACTTAACATAGGTTTGGGGATGATGGTGAGATAAAAGACTTTTCAGTCAGAAATTAACAAACCATTATAGCTGAAGCGGTCTTTGCTCATCTTCCATTAATGTCTTTTAAAATGGCATGAATTGACCTCCCATTGCCCTATCGCCTGTCTTGAAAAAGGCCTCGTCAATAAAATGCCAGAATAGGGCATAGTAGCTACCTCCACAGATTACCGATACCTAACGTTTAAAATGATTTTTTTAAAGTGAAAAATCTTTCTTGAAGCTTTTATTTTAATTTCAAACTAATAGATTAAATTTATCATTTCAAATAAACAGAATATTTTGCTGCATTTCAAAAACTAATTTAAATTCACTGAAAGAAATTTTCGTTTTGAAATTGTTAACCATCGCTCATTTTAACGGCATTTTAGACCTCTTTCATCACAATATAATTATCTTTATTAAAAAAAAGTTTTCCATAATAAAATATACTTTTCTGAAACTTAATTTGAACAATATTAGCTTATTTAAATTTTAAAAATCTGATTTCAAACAAATATTACTTTAAGTTTTAAATATCGTAGAAATGCATTTTTAACACGGCGGTAACTGTTTACTTCAAATGTTGACAGGTTGACAGCTTAATTGACAGGCAGAACTTCATCTAATTTTTTTCTAGGGAGGACATATCTGTAAAATTTACTTGAAGCATATAACGTGAGCGCCTTTTTATATAATTTTTAACTACCCAGTAATCTTTTAAAATTAGGAAAATATTCTCCGTAATCTAATGTTTTTTTGAATTTTAGGTACTTTGTCTTTAAATTTACTATAGTTATTGCACTTATTTTCTGATAATATCGTGTATGGACGACCGTATTTAAAAAAATCGGCACGTTTATACACACACAAAAAAATTAAATTCTTTTTAATTATTGAGTGTCAATGAATTGTATTAAAATTTTCCTTCTATGATTAATAAATATAGTTTTTACTTAATGACAATATCACCTAATCTATAAAGTAAGAAATATTTAAAACTTTATAAATTATGGAGGGACTTTAACAGCGATGCCGTCGGGTGTTCTAATCTCCTGGTAGGGCCACCCTTGGCGGCAAGGTCGAAGACGAGAACCCATACTAAACGCGACCAAACCTCAAAGACTCCAAACGGTGGAACAAGCGAATGATGATTACAACAGATCTCAACGGTTGAACCAGCGGATGAAGCGGGCTACGCATGACGGAAATGCTGCAGAAGATGTTATAACAGAGTCAGCGGAAGTGTGTTGCAGTTTCATAACTGGATTCTGCATGTCTCATATATACCGCAGAAGAAGGTCATGAAATCAAATGTGTGGGTCACTTCCTGGCAAGTCCACCTTAAGCAAATTCAGGCCACCAGCATTTCTTCTACTCTAAATTTGTTTCACCTCCAATTAACTTTTACAAAGCCAAACAGCGATATGAATAATGCGAGCAGGTGTTGGTAAAACTGGAAGCTTTTAGTCCTGAACCGGCATGTTGGTGGCGAATTTAGTCATCAATACCATCATCATAAAGGAACCGATCAACAAAGAAGAAATTAAGTTCTTGAATACGAAATAATTCTGACGTCGACGACGACGACAATAAACAGGAAGTTGCT